TGTATATTTAAATATATATATATATAAATATATATATATATATATTTATATATATATATATATATATATATATATAAATATATATATATATATATATATATATATATATATATATATATATATATATATATATATATATATATATATATATATATATATATATATATATATATATATATATATATATATATATATATATGAATAAAAAACAGTTAAATCAACATACTAAAGCAACTAGCTGTAAGTGAATTTCCTTGGAATTAAAAATGGCACCGTGCTGTGGCAAGCACGTTTTATGTTTTCATTCCTAAAAATAAACAAATTTCACTGCGTTTTTATGGTAACCAAATAGGATTTTTATTTTATTGTTTAAAAAACATTAACTTTGAAATGTATATACATTTTAATACTATATATTTAATTATATATATATATATATATATATATATATATATATATATATATATATATATATATATATATATATATATATATATATATATATTTTATTACATATACAAGATTTATTGTATTTTATGTTTTATAAACAAAGTTTTCTTTAGAAAACTTATATTATTTTATACTTTAGTAATACGGCTAAATAACTGTACCATTATTTATTCGTATTATTAAAATATATAATTAATTGAACAGCTATTAATTTAAAGATTGATAGATTATAAATATTTGTAAATCTTTGCTCACGAAACAAAATGTGTGCTATACGGAACACCCTGAGCCATAGAGAGAAGTGATGAAAAGTTATTTATAAAGTACAAGCGTTAGTACAAGAGGAAGTGTTTATTAGCATTAAAAAAACAATGCGTAACAATTTTTTTTTTTTTACGTGCTCCAAGAAATCCTAACGGTCTTATCAACTTGAATTTCAAATTCAATGTATACAATTTTTAAGATTTTATATTTTATGTAAAATCTTTAAAAAAAAAAAAAGCTGTAATTACAACAAACATGGACTTTACAACTATGTTCTTTAAAAAAAAAAGTGGTTGCTAAAGTTTATAATGTTAAATATAAGTTTCAACGTATTTGAGGTCCCTGAAATGAATGAATTTGGAATACTTTCAAATAAAAATAAAATGCTTTATTTATTTTTTTGTAGAAAAAATATTTAACTACTTTTTAAATATCTGTAGAATACAATTTATTTATTTTTAAAAAAGTTACGATTTTTGATTATGAAAAAACAATTTATCGTTTTAATTTAACAAAAAGTTAATCAATATGAATATTTTTCCATAATTTAAAATTGAACACAATTATTTCTCATAATAATCATTGACTAACTTAATCAATTTTATCTATATAACGACTGAGATATTAGGCGATTTAAATGACGTAGCGATCAAATATTTTCTCCAATATTGACTTTGTTTTGAGGCAAAAGTTACAAACGGTTGCATTTTGTTATGCAAAATACTAATATATATGCGCTTGAAGTCCAACAGTTCAAATCAGAGATTTGGTAAAGAATTTAACTTATGGAATAAAAAATAAAGCAAAAATATCATTTGTGAATCATTTTCAGAATGCAATAAAGGGTATAAAAATTCAAAAAAAAGGGCTCTTCTAGGATAAATTGCGCTAGGCCTAAGCGGAATTCCCGCATAGCCTCTGGGGCCAGCACGCCACTGCTATTCAATGGTACCATTTTTAATTTATGAACAGCAGTATTTTTGCAGAAAAAGTCATAGTTCTAAAGAATACTTTCAAAACCACAATCATGGCTTGTGACGGTATAGCCACGATATGTGCTCTGACGGTATAGCCACAATTGTGGCTTCCCGTGCTTAAAGGGTTAAGATCTGCAACTATCTCATCATAAATAATAAGATTTATTTGTGGTGTTTGATCTTCTTGTGTAAATGAAATTTTCTAGGTAACAAATTGAATGAAAACCATTATGTGAAGCATGTTATTACTTTCTAAAGTTTTTACATTCATATCAGCGTTGTCTGCAACACATTGAATAAATGTGCCAGTTTGTGGTGGTAAGATAAAAAGTGGATGATGAAGAACTGATAATGCCTCATACATCACAGTGTCATTGTAGGATGTGCATAAACCAAAAGATGAAAAAGATTTGTAAAAGGTGTTTTGAACCAAACCATCAATGAAGAAGTACTGAAAGACCTAATTTCTATTTAAAAGATCGCCTAAGATCAGACATAATACTGTGGCTGAAACTTGTACACACTTATTTTAGACATTCTAATTTAGGTCATTTATTTCTAAGAATTACTTGCTCCATAGAAAAAAGTCAATGACTTCAAAATATCGCTGGTAATATCCTTAAACATTTAACTAGGCAAGGAATAATTGGTATTATCAAAAACTAATGATTTAATGTCCTTTCGAATGATTGCTGCTGCAGTTTTTAAGTTTGAAATTGTTCTTCTTTTTTTTTTAGCATTTTTTCTCATACCAAGCTTAGTTAAGAATATCACAATGATTGTCAAAAAAACAAATGAAAGTTAATCTGACCGGTTTTTCAGTAATAATAATTTTATTACAATACTTGAATTTCAATCGTATCTTAATTGTTCTGTTATCTAATCTGGATTTTTGAAAATACTGTTTAACTCTTCTGATAAAAACTGTCAGTCATCACTATTTTCAATGTATTTAAATTTTTCTTTCATCAAATCATTCATAGATTCATCTTGAGAACAACTGATTTTAACAACTATTATGGTACCTATCCTCAGCAGCAACTAAATCTTATTTATACTCAATGTGTGTTGTAAAATATTTTGCTACATAATCAGACGGACTCTGACCACTCTTTGAATTTAAGGGCAACAAATTTATAAATTTTATACCAAACATTCTGCGCTTTCATTTTTCAGCCTCTTTACTTGCTTCATCACAGCAAAATAAACAATATATTTTAAAACAAAAATTGGATTTACTCACGCAGGCTCTGGTACGAGGTGGACTATTTTTGGATGTACTGGCTTGATCCGTTAGTTGCTGTTTTTACATGCCACAGTAGTACTCTTCTGAGTATACACTTAATGTCTCTGCACATGAATTGTCACAGACTTCTGACCTTTTAGGTACTCAAGGAGCCGGTCAACACTAAAATCAATTTAAGTCTTTATTCCACGATCAACAATGACTGTTTCACTTGTTGTTTTAAGTTTACTACAAATAAAAAATAATTGTGACATTTAGTACAAGTAGTACAAATTGCTATAAGAAATATTTAACAATAACCAAACGTATTGACTGCAAAAGCCAGACAAAATATTGTTTTCGGCAGACTGAATGTGCGTAATTTAGTATAACGTGATGAAATACTTTTAGCATTTAAAACTTAGTTTAAAAAATCTTGCAAAAGAATTTTTGTTAATTATTTTTCATAATAGGGTTCATAAAAATAGCTTTAAAAAAAAATTTATTTAAACAAGTTAATAAAGAAAAATTATACTAAATTAATACTCTTAAATTTTTTTTTTAACATGTCACAGTTTTAAGAGCCCAATTTTAATTAAATGTTATTTATTTTAGAACAACTAAACAATAGATAAAACCCCCTGAAACCTAGCAATATTTTTTTCTTCTGATCCAAGATCAGAGAAAAGTCACAGAAACTTTTATTTTATGTAGACAGTAAAATGCGCTAGAAAAACGACAAAAGTTTTTATCTTTTTCCCTTGAATAACTTTTTTTGCTTATGTGGAATCGCTGGGGACTTTTTATAAATTATTTTTAATAATGTCCCCAGCGCCTGTACCAATTTTCAGCTCTATGCGAATTATTGATAACCTACTACTTTTTTATATATTTTGACCAGACTAAAAGTAATATATTTGAATTTATCATATTTAAATCTTATTTGAAAAAAGAAATATCTATGAAATGGCACACTGGTTTAAGAGAAACTTCAAATATAGTTAGTACTCACTATTATTACTTATTGATGTTAAACTTGTAAAATAGAGTTATACATCAATTATTGATTACACCAAGGTTGATATGTTATAATAAAGAATAGAAGTTTAGTTAAAGAGTAGAATAATTTTTGTTTTTTTTTATAATAAACTGGTATTAGAAGCCTTAAGAAACTCTTGAGAAACTTTTTATTACTAGATAAATAGAATCCTCTTAAACAAAAATCTTTTTTTTAATTAGTTATCAAAATTGATAGGGTGCAAAAGAAAATGGATTTAGAAGAATTCGATCTTAAAAACACATTTATTTTTTTTTGTTTGTTTCTTTTGTTTTTTGTTTTTTTTTTCAAATTTTCTCAAATTTTCTCCCTACTTTGTCTTGACAAAATACCTATTTTTAAATGAAACACTCAACTTGTTATTAAATGAAACACTCTACTTATTATTAAATGACACACTCTACTTATTATTAAATGACACACTCTACTTATTATTAAATGACACACTCTACTTATTATTAAATGACACACTCTACTTATTATTAAGTGACACACTCTACTTATTATTAAGTGACACACTCTACTTATTATTAAATGGCACACTCTACTTGTTATTAAATGACACACTCTACTTGTTATTAAATGACACACTCTACTTGTTATTAAATGACACACTCTACTTATAATGACCAAAAAATAGTATTTTTCATTCTTTTCTCTTTTTCTGAAATAGTTATCTGGATTTTTCAAAATTTTTAAATTTAACCTGTTTAACATATAATACTAGTTTATAGATTTAAGTATGCAAAGCTAAACACTCAATTCTTTTTTTTAAGTAGCTAAACTATGGGTGAATCATTTGAAATTTTGAACAAAATGCTATTTCCTATGTTGTTTTGCTTTTAAAATCTTATTATATGGTAAACTAAGATAAAATTAATGTTTTTTCAAAATGCATTAAATTTATTCAAATATTATTTAATTTATTCAAAATCATTTAATTTAGATATGAATCATTAAGTTTCTTATTTTTTTTTTCTAAATTGTTGTTTCGTTAAATAAAAATTTACTATATTTTGTACAACAG